AACAACAAGTCCGTGACAACGTGCTATGTGGGAGTTCTTGAAGAAAGTCTATACTCAAAGCAACAATATTCGACGACTTCAGCTAGAATTTGAATTGACAAATTTTTCTTAGAACTCACGTTCCATAAAAGAATATTATTCAGGTTTTTCTAATCTTTAGGCTGAGTACACGGATATCATCTATACTTCGATTTCACCTGACAATTTGGAGGCTATCCAAGCTGTACACGAAATCACAATGAGGGATCAATTTCTCATAAAATTGCGAACTGAATTTGAATCCATCAGGTCTAGCCTTATGAATCGCGAGTCTATTCCAACACTGGATGGTTCTTTAGGTGACTTACTAAGGGAGGAGCAGCGTCTTGTCACTCGTAGAGTAGAATCATGTAGCACCAGTTCCAGTTGCATATGTGGCTCAAGATATATTCAAACCTCGGGATATGTCTAGCATGCAGTGTTACGACTGTAAAGGATTTGGTCACATGGCTCTTCAGTGTCCCAAAAAATTTTGAATTTTATTACAAGTAGCCTAACCATGTCATTAAAGGATGCCCTACTCGTCCTCCATGCAAGAATGGAGCAAGTTATGTTGTTGCTGCCACTTTAGACTCTAGTACTGCTTTGCCAACTGCTCTTGTTCAAGTTCTAGCCTCTCCCATTCCTCAAACTCCCATCACTCCTGAGATGATTCAACAAATGGTCATCTGTGCTTTGTCTGCCTTAGGTATCTCAGGTAACCCATCAACTGCTCGTTCTTCTTGGTTATTAGACTTAGGTGCTTCTAATTATATGACTCACGATCCTCTCTTGCTTAGTAATCTTAAAACCATATATTGGACCTCTCAACATACACATTGTCAATGGTAAAACTTTTCCTATCTCAGCCGTAGGGGATATATCCCCATATTTGCCTAATGTTTTAGTGTTTCCTGATTTATCAACTAATCTTATCTTTGTTAGCCAACTTGTTGATAATAATTGCACTGTCTTTTTCTTCTTTTAGTTGTCATGTACAAGATCAAGTGATCGTGCGGGGGCCTAAAGAGGGACATCTCTTTCCAATTTCACCGAAACCATTTTTGTCTTTTCCTATTATTTGTAATTCTACTATTTTGGATCTTTGATTGGCAAAAGAAATTGGGACATTCCAATTCTAATGTGTTACAATATTTGTTAAACTCTAGTTTACTTGGTAATAAGAATTCTGTTTCAGTTTTGTCTACTTCTCTTGATCATGCTTCATGTAAACTTGCAAAGAGTAAGGTTTTAGCGTTCCCATCTCATGGTTTCCGTGCTTTATATTTTTTCGATATTGTTCATAATGATGTATGGTGTATTGCACGTGGTATCTCATGCTCATTATAAATATTTTGTTACTTTTATTGATGATTATAGTCGTTTCATATGGGTTTATTTTCTTCGCACAAAAGGTGAGATCTTCTTTGTTTTTCAAGCTTCTTTGCTCTCATTGACAACCAATTTTCCTCCTCAATCAAAATCTTAAGATCTAATTCGGGAGGTGAATATATATCTATTGCATTTTAATCTTTCCTATAAACCAAAGGTATCATCTCTTAACGCTCTTGCCCTTCTACCCCTCAATAAAACGAGGTGGCAGAATGCAAGAACCGTCATCTTCTTGATATGGTTCGAGCTCCTCTGATTGAGTCTTCTGTTCCCTCTCCTTTTCAGTGTGAAGCCTTGTCTATCACGGCGCATCTCATAAATCAGTTAATTTCTCCCACTCTTGGTGGCTTTGGCCCCCATTATTTGAGACTATAATTTTTGAAATTTTTTTTAAGAATGTGTGATTAAAAAAGAAGGAATTGTTTTTTGTTTACATGTAATATTATTTTATTAAAGAATTTGTGGTTGATACAAAAAAGAGAAATTGATTATAATTTTAATTAGGGCCAAACGGGGGCTTAATAATGCTTTTCCATTTTATAAGCTCTTTGGTCATCATCTCACATATTATCATCTCCGTCCCTTTGGATGTGTGTGTTTTACACTCACATGAAAGGACAAAACTCAACCCTCAATCAATTAAGTATGCCTTTTTGGGATATGATCGGACTTAAAAAGATATGTCTGTTATGATCCTAGTACACAACGAAATCAGATTTCTCAATGTTGTTTTCTTTGAAAAACAATCTTTCTTCACTTGAGAAACTGTGGCTCCCTCTCATGTGTTCTATGTCTTGCCTGATTCCCCTACAGAATCCTCTCGGTACAAGTCGGGTCTTGTTTACACTCGCAGATCTGTTGTGCCTGTTTCTGGTCCAGAGCTTCTTTCTCAGACAATTGTCCTCCCAAGCCTCTCTGATCCTCCACATAATACATCAGATCCTTCACCATATGATATGCTGCCTCCTGTCCCTCTTCGTCGCACTTCTCGTGTTCCTCAACCACCAAATAGGTATGATTTTTCCTCCCATAGCTCTATGTCTGCTACCCTTAATTCGATTTCCATTCCTTTCTCCTATAAACAGGTTATGGAACAAGAGTGTTGACAATAGGCAATACGATCAGAACTTGAGGCTCTTGAGGCCAACCAAACTTGGGATGTTGTGCCATGTCCCCAGACTGTGAGACCCATTGGAAGTAAATGGGTATATTCCGTCAAACTTCATTCTGATGGTTCTCTTGAGTGCTATAAGGCTCCGTTGGTTGCTTTGGATAACCGTCAAGAATATGGAATAGACTATGATGAGAAATTTGCTCCTATGGCTAAAATGACCATCGTTCGCCTCCTATTATCACTTACCGCTTCCCAATCATGATCTTTATGTCAAATGGATGTGAATAACGCGTTTCTACATGGAGACCTCGAGGAAGACATTTATATAAAATTTCCATTGGTATGTCTCTTTCCTCAGCTGAAACTATATATAAGCTAAAATGCTCTTTATATGGTCTTAAGCAAGCCCCTCGTGCATAGTTTGACAAGTTTCACTACATTCTTTTGAATTTTTCCTTTATTCTAAGTCAGTGTGACGCATCTCTATTCCTTCATAAGAGTACTGCGAGCATCGTTTGTTTGTTGGTATATATAGATGATATTATTATCTCTGAATCTAATCACATTCTTATTCAGAAGCTTTAGCAGCATCTTCGCTCGGTTTTCATATGAAAGACCTTGGTCAACTCACTTATTTTCTTAGCTTAGAAGTTCAAGCAACACCGCGTGATACCTTATTAGAACTCCTCATCTTGGACTGTTCTTCCCTAGAGGGATGTCTCTTGAGCTCACTGTTTATAGTGATGTTGACTGGGCTAGTTGCCCTGATTCTCGTTGATCTAATACGAGTTGGTGTCTCTTTCTAGGTGATGCTCTCATTTTTTTAAAATATAAGAAACAAGATTGTGTTTTTAAGTCCTCCACTGAAGCTAAATACCGCGCTATGTCGTTGCGTGTTATAAAATTGTGTGGCTGCGAGGACTATAACACTCCATGGTGACAACACTAGTGCTATTCAAATTGCAACGAATCATGTATGTCATGAACGTACCAAACATATTGAAGTAGACTATCATTACATTCGAGACGCCTATGATTCCAAGGTCATTGCTCTTCCCCGTATTTCCACTACTCAACAAGCAACAGATATCTTCATCAAATCTTTAACTCACCATCGTCATAATTTTCTAGTCAATTTGAGGGGGAGCATTAGAGGCGTGATTAATTCTATTATCGGAGTGATTTATAACTTTCCTTTTATAGCTGCACAAAATAAGAATTGATTCCCCATTGTAATTTTACTTCCTTGTATATTCCATAAACGTGTATAAATGAAAGATAACACCAAAGAGGAAATCATTCAGCAAATTGACCTCAAATTAGCACTTGATAACTATAAGGAAAAGTTATCCGCTAAAATATTTTCTAAGACATTCACCCATTAACAACTAACTTCCCTAAAAACTAACAATGTTTATCAAGATTGATTTGATAGACTTTTCCAACACAAAGAATCATTTCCTTTTTTTGGTCAAAGAATAATTAAGAATGAACAGCCACGTAGAAAAATGATCCCATCCTATATAATAAAAATGTGAAACACTGCATTTGATGGAGATAAAGATATAGCATAGCTAGGATTTTGAAATAGAGTTTAATTCCAATCATGAATGTTTAAATTAGATTAGATTAGTTTTAATATTTATATAAAATTCTAGTTTAGTCGAATTTCGTTTGATTTTAGCTTTGTTTTAGTTTCTTTGCTCTATATATAGAGGGATTATTCATTGTAATAGGTACCCTCGAATATAACAAATAGATTTTCTCTTTGCCCTCAATTCTCTTCTTTGATTTCCTTTCTTTCTTGTTCTTCAATATGCTCTTGCCTCAATTTGGTATAAGAGCAAGTCATGTTCCATTGGCCAAACATCTTTCGTTCTCAAATCCAAAAATCGACATCCCAACCGTTTCCATCAATTCATATATACCAACCCATCCAAGTCATATAACCACCTTTCATACACAATAAGCTTTGAATAGCACAAAATACAAGAAGAATTTGTCTCGACAACAATCAAGGGTGCAACTTTTTTTCCTCCTTTTAGTTGGTTGAAAAAAATCCGAACAAAGTAGCAGCAGTTGTTCCTCCCTTTGCACGGAAGATGAGGGTTCTGAACAGTGGTGAGAATCACCTACCACTGAAATCAAACATTTCATGTGTCCTCAATCTCATGCTAAATTGATATTGCCTACTTTTTGCATGATTTTCACATTGACTTTGTTTTAGTGTTACCTCAAGTCCTCAACTGCATAATACTCCTTGGATTGCTACATTGTTTTCCTATGTCATTGTTCAATTTCATACTTTTCTCTCGTTTGCTGCATTGTTCTATTCTATATCTATATAAGATAACCTACAATCACTCCAGAGTCATTCTATACAAGATAAATACAATTATTATCTATCTAATATATACAGTTGTACAATATATGTTAACTACATTTTTCCCTTTAACATGTACTTCAGCCAAATTTCATCAATTATTAACTTTCTTCACTCCGTTTTCTCATATTTTATCTTGACAGTCTTTCCTCCTTTCATTTTAAGTGCAAAACAAATTTTTAAGATATCAAATACCTCAAGCTGAAGAACTTATCCTTCCTTCTGATGGCTGTATAATATTGAAGGTTCGTAAGCACGTTATTATCTAGTGTCCCAGTTCTTTTTCACTCTTTCCCTTCTAGAGTTAGTGAACCAGGATCATTTTCCATTCAATAATGATTTAAATTCCTACTCCGGTCAGCATTCTCACTCAACTGGATTAAGCAATTCGAAAATTCAAAATTTGAGCAACAAATCTGCAAAGAAATTAATGGAACAGTATAGCACTTGCAGACACTACATGGTCATTGATAGTCCTACCTTTTACAGACCATTTTTAAGATGTAGTACTTTGTATCTTTTGATATCTAAGAGGCATTTCCTTATCCTGGACCCCATTCAAATGGAAATGCTTAATTGCATTCAAGCATCACCAGATTAAGAAACCCAACAATTTTTTATCAACTGAATGTAGACTAACCAAGTTCTATTGTAACTTTGTATACTAATTTTGTATCATTCCAGTAAAATCGAAGCACACTAAGCTAAGCAAATGAAAGTTAACATTGATAAACATGAGATACTAAACCATACCCAATAACGGTATGCCACAACTTCAGCAGGAGTGTCCTTAAGAGTACAAGAGCCTAAACTGATCTGCTTTACAGCTTCAATTTGAACCGCCTCGGGATCCTCCCTTGCACTCAACTCCAAAGCCAACTGTATCTGATACTCCTCTTCGACATCAGGATCCCTCGAGTTGCTCGATTCCGAATCATACTTTACTGCATCCAGAACAACATCCACGCTATTAGTAGCCACAGAATCAGAAGGTTCCATTCTCTCACCTCTTTCCACATTGGAAGAGGATGGGGGACTAGGACTACGCCTATTTGTGACAGAATTCAACCATCCTGATATAGCTGAAAAGGGTTTGTTATGCTCAGACCTGAAGTGTGACAGCCTTCCATTTGGTGAACCACCACTCAACTTACTGCCCTTTGATGAAGAAATAGACCCCTCTGAATTTTCAGACTGATTGGTTCCTATGTGAAGTTTCTTCAGGAAGTTTTTCATATTTTTGAATAAGCTCCAATAGTCAATGCTAAAGAATGAATCTGGCTACAAATCTTTCCATTGTCTCACTCCAAGCAGTAATCGCAATTACAATTGACAGTTCCCAACAAAAAGTAGTTCAGAATCAAGCTCACCCAATAAAATCCTCAAGTGAACATCCGAGAACTCCAAATAATAACCATAAAAAAAAAAAAAAACCAGTAGAAGAAAAACCCAATCCTCTCGTAGAAGAAGAAAAAACCAATCTTTAATACAACCCAACAAACAAGATTGCTAGTTCATTGATTTAGAAATTAAAGAATCAACTAAATACATAGAATTATCTACAACTAGATAAAGATTGATCTTCTTGCAAGGATATTCAACTATCAATGAGAGAAAGAGGGAGAGAGAGAGAGAGAGAGGGGTAAAATCAATGAGTGCAGACATGGGATTGTGTGAAGAGAGAGAATTGATTTGTGTGTGTGTATGGGTATAGAAGGAATAAATAAATAAATTTAATAGAAGAGAGAAAAATAAAGAGGGTTGTTTGGAAAAAGTAAGCAATAGAGACGTCAAAGATCAAGTTGTAGTCGGACCTCACAAAAGATGACCCACTTGATACTCCATAAGCCTCCAAGGACCAAATTTTAGAGGTCCCAGAGAAAAATATGCACACAATACTGGGAAAAAAAATTTGCATGTGTGTCTCTCAGTGATTAATGATCGGCTGTTTCCCCGTAATAACTCTGCCATTGTTTGATGGAAATTAAAGTCAAACTTTTAGTAAATTTTGATAAAATTTGATTAAGACCTTATTTTAGTCTCATTTAAAGAAAAATGCATTTTTAAATAGTGATTTTTTGATAATGTGTAGTTAAAAATGAAGAATTTTTTTTCTATTTACGTGTAATATTATTTTATTGGAGAATGTGTTATTGAAAATATGTTTTGAAAAAATGAATTTTGATAAAATGGGGCTCAAAGAATGGTTAAATGTGTGGCTGAAAAGTTGTGGGACAAATAAAATATAAGGTTGAAATTAATTGTTGACTTTGATTTATATTAAAATTTGGATTTTAATCCATACCAAACAGGGGCTCAATTTTCCAAATTACGATGTACTATTTTTTTATTTTTGTTACGTGTACACTAAAGTTGACAACTTTGTTTACACTGTTTGATGTAGCACACAATTTTGCCATTTATTTCAACAATAGTTAAAATAATCTAGAGTCTCGATTTTTACACATCACACAATGTCAAACGAGATATACAACTTGAATGTACAAGTAGTTTAATTATTTTTTATTTTACTGTTTTTGTTTTGGCATGAGATTTGTTTAGTAGGTTTTTGCGGTGTCCTAAAAAGCAAAAAGCCTAAGTGGATGTGGAGATCAAACATCAAACTTTACGAATTTGGACAAATCATTGACGTTAAAAAATGTTTTCTTATTTTTAAGATTATTTAAAAAAATTAATAATTCTAAAAATTATTTAATAATTAAAATAATACGTACCAAAAACCTAAAACTATAAAATACTTACTTAACAATTCGTATAATACTCTATTTTTTTATTTTCAAATTTTCCTTTGGCCGCTGTTTTGTTTGAAATTTTTAGCATGTTTTTTATTTTTGACTTTTGTACAAAATAAAATCATTTAAAAACTTGAACTAAAGTCAAATAAAAAATTTTAAAAAGGGAAAAAAAAACAATTAATATGACTCATTTTTCTTATTCATTAGATTTGGAAAAGAGTAATACTATTTAATATCATTGATGTCAGCACAGTTTAAGTGACAATTACATATCATTAAATGATAAATTTACTTAAATATAATGTCACATGATTCGTTTTATTGATAAATATAGTAAATTAGACTCTGTTCTAGAACCACTGATTTTAAATAGCACTATTTTTATGGAATGGCATCAATTTTACAGGAGGGACTATAATAATTATTTTTAAGTTTTAGATCATGCACCAATAACATACTTTGTAGATTTATAAGTACTTTATACATTATCTCTAACTTTACGTATATTCACTTTCTTTATATTATAATTGAAAGGATTTGAAAATATTATCACTCTTGTGCCGCTAACTAATAAGTGTATAAAATACAATTATTCGGGCTCTAAAATATTGATATTTTGTAATTTTGTTAATGGAATTATAGTCTAATTTGTGTTATTGGGTGAAACTCAATAAATAAAAGTGGATTTGAAAGAAAGAAGTGCAAATTGGCGAAAATGTATAAAATCCAAAGTTTGGGAACTAAAGTGTAAATATTCAAAAGTTGTGCCGAAACTCAAGATGAAGATTTGAGAATACTGGGAGTCAAGTTGATGGAATTAGAAATCAAAAAGTGAAATATGACCAAAATATTTTCACAAATCAATTTTCAACCGTACAAAAATATTCCAGATTTTCAACCGGAGATTGAGACCCATTTTTGACATAGTAAACATTAGAATTGGGAAATAGCTACTATGGTAAAGTTGTAGCCCTTTGAATTATATTTACAACTCAATTTGAATCTTCTCAATTGGATATCGAAAGAGAAAATTATGATAAAAATATTAAATGAGGT